GATAAAAATATTCTGGTATAAGAAATTTTGGAATATTTCCAGACAAAAAAAAAAGAAAATTTAATTAAAAAAGTATTTTTATATAAATGAATGGCAAGTTGTTTATGGAGTGCTGGCATAGAATAAGGACCAAAAATGAATAACATTTCATAAGATTTCTAATTGATTATTCCTTCGAATATCAATTTAAATGCCTATTATTAGTTGCCGTAAACTTAAATTAAATGAAGTTGGTTCAATCTAATGGTTTGTAATGTAGCACCTTTCCCTTTAGCAAAAGAAAATATTGCTTTTTTTAAATACAATCTATGTATACCTACCACACTATTAAAATTATTTTCATTCATAAACGAAACTATTTCTAGGATTGCATATATTTAGGATGAACGATTTATGCAGTCTTTGAAACAAAACAAAAATAAATTTAAAAGGGTGTCAACATAATGCTCGATTTCAATGGTTAATTTCTTGTGTTAAGGAAAATAATTATATTTTTTAATGGCTTTCTGCATTAATAGAAATTTGAAAAAGCTTGTAGTTTCGGGAATATAAGTCACCAAAAATTCAAATTTTAAACATTTCGAGAGACGATAACTTGAGAAGAGGTGAAGGTAGGAAAATATTTTCTTTTAACGAAATAAACTATTTATTAGTGTCTAAAAGCTGTTAAAATTTCAGACTTTCACAACCAAGGTAGCGGAATCCGGCCACTATATTTCTACGTTTGCAAAATTTCAAAAATGCTCATAGTTTTATTGCAATAAATATAGTTAAAAAATACAATTTTTAAGGTTTAAGGGGGATAAATTTAGGGGGGGGGGGTGAGAGAGGTAAAAATTTTCTTCTATGAAAAAAAATTTCAGCTCTCTATCTTCAAGGTTGTAGAAGTTCAATTGAGCTACAAATCTAACCTTTAAATTTTTTACTATAAAACTTGAAATAGTAAATATTTGAAATATGAAGGCATAATGCATACATTTTAATTAGTGCTAGGTACTGATTTGATTTAGCCAAGTCTGTGCGCCCATCAATTGTTTGTTAAATAAAAAGCCAGTGACGGTTGTATAAAAACTCGTGTAATATAGTTTCAACTTTATGTGTTCCCTTCACAATAAAGTTCAATTTTCCTTTGATAAAAATTAAAAGATCTTCTCCATAAAATTTTTAAAGAAAGTAGATTGTTTGTCGAAACATGAGAACACTTGATTATTATACTTGAATATAATGTTGTGCAGTCAATAAAACTCAAGAAAATAACAGCAAATTATTAAATTATAAACTTTCATTAAAAATTCTCGCACAGTGTCGATAACTTTTTTTTCTTTTGGGTTATAACCACCAATTGACTTAGGTATTTAACGAGTCAATAGTAGCTACTTAATTCATTAAATTATTGGGGTGTTTTTCCTTTTCTTCAATTACACAATTCAAAATTTTTGATATTATTATAGAAGTATAGATGCATGTACTGTTTAAAATTCTGAACGTTATATACATTGAATAGTTATTGAACGAAAGCACAATTTAACAAAATGGAGCGGAGCGGGAAATTTTATGAAAATATTGAAATATATGTGTATGTACAAATATGAATGTAGATAAAATATTATAAGTAAAGTTGAAAAGAAAACAAAAAAAAATTACTGGGAATGGTTTACAATAAAAAAAACATTTCATTTTTTTTTGCTTAATACTGGCGATTCAATAAATAAATTGTGGTCATTTAATTTAAGCATATCTCGCACCGCATATATAGAACAAAATGAAAAAACTTTATTAATAAAATATTTTTGGGGTTTTTAGTTTCGATTCGAGTTATTACTTATACGTGTGAGTATGTTGAATGAGTTCAGTCAAATTTCAATTTAGAGTTGAAGAGAGTTCTCTGTTAAAGACCAAAAGCACGGTTGTTTCATGAATATTTTAGTTTTAGCAAAATATGAAAAACTTTTATTCAGAAGTGATTTAGCGCTTTTATTATTTTTTTCAAAACTAATTTTTAAGAAAGGTATGAAGAAGTTTTGTGGTATCCTTGTGAGTCGTTGTATACATGCAAGTATACAATTATACTGAAATTTTTGAAACTTTCTTCTTTGTTTTACGTGGTAAATCTTTCTTTTATCTATGATACAACGCTTAACGAGTGAAATATTTTTTTCATATTAAGGTTAAATTATTTAAAATATAGAAGCTTCTGAATGGTAATTTTTAAAAATAAATCATATAGAAAGGAAATTTTTAATTATCTCTGTATAAATTAACGTTTAATCTTTTGTATTTTACTTAGATTTCAAATTGTATATCGTCTAAAATCTTTATTGTATATCTAATTGTGTATCATATAAAATTTTTATGCTCACTTCATAATATGTTTAAATTTATAATCGATTTTTTAAAAATTTTATGCAATGGTAATAATTAAAATAAAAATGCAATGGTAATAATTAAAATAAAATAAATTACCTGAACGTTAGTCGATGTAAACCTATGAGCGGATAAAAAGAAGGTAAATTGAATGTAGTTATGTTACCAAATTTAGTAACGACTCTATTGTAAATAAATTTGGATCAAATCAAACTAAAGATCCAAAGTAGCAACTTTTCTCACAATTGAAACGATAATCTTGGCAAAAACAATCTAAGTACTATTTTACCTTAATGGAAATTTCTTCATGCAACTGCAGAACAGATGGATGACGTAATCAAAGAAACGAGTTAAAGGCAGTTGCATGAAGAAATTTCCATTAAGTTAAATTATTAGTGTAATAAGCACATTCTTATTAATTTCTCAACTGTGATGTTGTATTAGTAAAATTCATAATCTAAGTACTACTTTATTATTACTTTCATCAAACATTTTGGATAAATTCTAAAAAAAATCACATTACTCTAACGTTAGTATTTTCAGTAAAATAACGTTGTAAATTTTATACGTACCTGCAAATTGACATTAGTGTGCGTATTTTCAAATGCGTTTTACTCGAAACTCAAAAATCGAAAGAAAAGCTTTTCCATAACACCATCGTGACTCTTTCATAATACCGACGATAAGAAATAGTCAAGAAATGGCACTTTTAGGAGTTTTGAGGAGCTATAACCTTATTTAGAGGAAAACAGGTAAAAGTTTTCCTCCGAAAAAAGACGTTTTTATTCAAATATTCTATTTGTGTATAAAATTTCAGCTTTCTACTTTAAGGGGTATAAAAATTTTGTTCTTAAACAGGCATATAGGCGAATGAACTGACGGACAGAGTGAAACTAATTAACATTTTTTTTGCAATTTTGAAAAGTGCTAAAAATTAGTTCATCTAGTAAACTGTTCGTGCTCCAAATTAAATTTAATTCCTTCGTTATTTTGTTTCAAATTTATTCAGCTTTTATACATTCAAATAAATTTTAAGAGGACAAGTTTAAATCAGCAAAATACTTTTCTCTATTAAAATTCAAGTAAGTACATCAAATTTTGGAATCAATTAATGTTACAAGTTATACAAAGTAGGTTTATAAAATTATGATTGATGATCAAATAGATAAAAACCATGAAATGAATTGATAACTTAATGAAACGCGGTTTGGCATAAAATCGCTTGAAAATTTGTACTTTCCTCTTATACTTTTATACTTCAATATCATTTATGTTTTTTTTTAATAATTTGGACAATTTAAAAGTAAACGAAAAATTATTATAAAATAAAAATTTATATTTAAATTTTGTTATGAAAAATTAGAATTTAACCATACCTACGAGCATTTCCTAGTCGTTATCACGTTTTTTGTTTAATTTAGTCACGTTTTTATAATTAAGTATTTAATAATTTTGCTTATAGTAAACGATTCTTTTAATTCTTCAGTTTTTTTGCATAAATTGCACACTAGGGAACAAAAACATATTAATTTTACCAATTTATCTTTGAAGTATGATATTAAACCAGTATTTCACATTATTATTTTCATAAAAGTTATATTAGATCACACAAAATTCAAAATTATTTAATCCGAGGAGAAATTTTTTTTTTAAGAAGAAGGGCCTTCATTTTAAATACTGTTGTAGTAGAAGGTTAATCTTTTGTATAAGCAGTTGAGTATTTCTTGTTGTGAACATTATTTCACGAAAACTTTGCCAAACAACACACACAAATTATAGTTTTTGTCAAGGTGAATAACTCTTAAGCACATACTTAATAGTTTAAAAAGTTACGCCAATTTTATTCTTGTACAGTAACTACCAGAAAAATCTAGATTTATAATGTGCCCGAAAAAGAAATACCATATTATGTTTGGTTTACTCTTTTTAAAATAATATTTTCCTTCATCAACATCAAAAAAAATTTATTATTTTACAAAATTTAAAACGTTCATATCATTATCTGTACATAAAAAGAGTAAAATTCGTAGTTGGAGAGATCTTGTAAACTGAAATATGGGAATTCTTGTCGGAATATAGAAGAAAAAGTAAAAACTGCTTTATAAATTATAGTATGAAGGATTAATTTCGGAAGCATTCGGCATTCATATCTCTGCCTAATGTATTAATGCCATTTATCAAGATAAGTGTTGGCAAATATACTTCTTAAGTTATCTTTTTTTTCCTGGAGTTGTCAACCGGTAAAATAGTGAAATATAGAAATAATTTATTAAGTATGTTTATGCTTAATACACTCAGATTTGATTTCTTAGACTTCCTTTAATTTTTAATTTAATTTTGGTTTTTAATTAATAAAGAATATTTAGTCCTATGCAAGTAATAAGATGGAAATTGTACATACTTATAAAATATTGCAAGGTAAAATTCTTTAAAATTTAACTAAATTTGCAACCCAAACATCTTTTTTAATTGATGCAGTTTTTTGTATTAATCAATTGTGTTGCGATAAAATATAATTTTTTTTTTGTGCAAGAGCAGAATGTTACCGTTTTTCTAAATTTCTATTAAAGAATAAAAATTAATTAAAAGAAATCTCCAAAGTGTGATAATATAAACTTTGTCAAATGTTTTTTTAGAAATTTGATATTTGAAAACCACAAAGCAGAAAAAAATAATCAAAAAAGTTTTCAGACTTTTCAATTTTTTTTTTTGTTTGTATTGTTCAAAATGAAAAATTACAAGAAAAAGTGTTAAAGTGCACACACATGTGGATATAAACAAATAATAAATTTTAATTAAAGAAAAAATTTTTGTTCAGCTAAGGAATAACCACAAAATATTTTAGAACCTTAATGGAACTCACAATAAATAAAAAACATTCTGGTTTTTGGAAAACATATGGAGTAGAAAAAGTTTTTCCTAATGTGTCTGACCAATCGATCGACCACAAAATCACTAATATTGTCACCAAATATTAGACGTGCATATGTGAAAATTTTAAATTATATACAATTATTTTTCTGTTAAATAAATTGTGAGTACTTAGATGTATGAAATAGCATAAAAAACGAGAAAAATTTATATTCACACATACATTCTTCAACAAAAAGATATTGCTGTCAGTTATTTATAAAATGAGCTAAATGAGCGTGAGATACAAATACAAAAAAAAATTAAATTAACTAAAAATTAAAATAATGCGAAAAAAAAACAACAAAACAAAAAAATAAAAATGTCAAAAAATTAACGTGAAACTGTCTCATGTCATTATTTATTACTATTTTGTGTAATAATACACTTTTAGAATATTAAAAAAACTAGAGTAAGTATGTACTCGTATGTATATAACAAAATATGGAATACTGTTAACTTATGTATGAATATACCATGTAGATGTCACTGTGCAAAAATAGTGCAAACCTATACACATATTGCATAAAATCTAAGTTTATATATGAATGTGTGGAGCTTGTTATATAGATTTAAAATAAATATATATATATATATCTTGGAAATCAAGCATTAAAAAAATTAAAATTTTTAGAATAAAATAAGCACATGAATTTTTCTGTTTTTTAAAGTGTAATAATGTGTAAATTAAAAAAACGCTGGATGAAAAATATTATTATGAACTAGAAATAATACAAAATTGTAAACGTGTGAGAATATAAAAAAACAGTCTACACACATAAAATAAGAGAAACAGATTCTGTTTCATTAAAAAAAAATTAATTAATTCCACACAATTTTAAATTTTAAATTATTGAATTTTTAAGTATAAAAAAACTGTGCGCCATTTATAATAGAATTTTTAATTAATTTATAAATTATTTAGTGGAAATATAATTAAAATTTTATATTTTTGGTATAGAAATTAATATTAAAATTCATTAAAATTTACAAAAATTAAAAAAAAAAGATTAAAATTAACAAAATAATTAATTGGGAAAATTACAAAATTAATTAAAAAACAACAATTTAAACGAAACTTATAAGTAAAAAAAAAAATTATTTCCAAATAAATGTTTAAAAAGTAATGGCCAGGCATAAAACTCGTGCCTATCGAACTAGAAGTTGGTTTCTATTGAAAGGTTCTGTGATTTTGGTATTAATGATGTGCCTATTTATTAATAATTATTTAATGATTGGTATTAATGCAAATAATACAAATTATAATATTGATAATAATAATAAAATAAATTATAAATATAAAAGAAATGAAGGAAACTATAAAAATTTAATAAATTCATCAACAATTAATAGTAAAGCAACAGCAGTAATAGCAGCAACAACAACACCAGCTACAATTACTACATCTGCAAATCCTATACCAACATTAAGAACAATAACAGTTGCAGCAACAGTAACAACAGAAAATTATAATAAAATTGATAATAATAATATTGATAATAGCAGTAACAGTAATAATAATAAAGAATTAGAAAATTTTTTATTTAATTTCAAAAATTTCACTACTATTAATAAAATATCGTCGACAACAAAACCTAGAATAATTAATTTAACAAATCAATTAGTAGAACAAAATAAATTATTAATTAATAATAATTATAAAAATAATATTAATAATAATGATAATAATAATGATATTAATTTTACGAGAGATAAAAGTCTTAATTCTTTATCAACAAAATTTGCTAAACCAGTTTCTAAGCCAATATTTTCAACTTCAATATATTCTTATCCTTTATCTTCTTTATCTTTATCATCTCTTTCCGCTTCTTCTTCTTCTTCTTCTTCGTCTTCTTCTTCCAGTTCTTCCTTATCTGGTTCCTCTTTTCCATCTTCTTCTATTTCAATACCTACATCTTCCGCACCTGCTGAAAGTGGAATGAGTACATTGTCAATAAAAAAGCAAATTCATAATAGTAATAATAACAATGATAATATTTTTAGTAATAGTAATAATAATAAAAATGTAAAATATAAAAATGTTATGAATGATTTTGATTTAACAAAATTTCGTGAAACTGTTGTAATACCATCATCTGATCCGGAATTAGATGCACAACGTTTATATGAACAATCATTAAAGGAGTATGGTGTTATTGAACCAATTAAAAATTTACGGCAAATATGTGATTATTGGGAAAATAAATTAAAGTGTCATTGCACTGGTCATATTGAACAAATAACATTAACATGTAAAGGATTAAGATTACAACAAATACCATTAAATATGCCAAATGATATTGTAATTTTGTAAGTAAAAAATATTTTTCTTTAATTTTTAAAATAATTTTAAACACTTTCCTTTTGCCATTATACAAATAACGTACTCTCATTTTGTATCCTACATTCTACATATTGTGTTGATTTTGAGTCGTAAACGCATAGTTTTTGCGCCTACATAATTAATTAACTTAATAAGCAAGTACTTACCAAGCTAGATTTATTTAGCAATTTTCTAAATTATTTAACAATTTAATTTTCTAATTTATTTAATTCAAACAATTACTTATTAGAATAATACTAATACATGTTTACTCAAAAAAGGTTTTGAATTGAATACCACATATCAACATTAATTTTAAAAAATATCTTCCAATCTTATTTTACAATTACTTACACCTTCTTTTTGTTTTTCAATATCGGAGGTAAAAAAATTATATTGGTGTAACATTATTCCTTTTCTTGTATCTACTACTTTTACCAAAAATTGTATTCACTTGTGGTTTTTGAACAGCAAACATAACTTTGTTTTTTAGACTGTCTTCAAAAAGATTTTGAAAAAATGCCCCTATTAGTTTTACTCTGTTGGTCTGAACGTCTGAGTTTATTCTTATTTCACTTTGATAAAAAGGAATGCAAATTTACGTATTTAAAGCTATTGTTGTGTGGTGGAAAATTTAAAGAACTCTGTCAGTCGTAGCCACGTAATGCAAAAATGGTTAAATCTATTTTTTGTTCCTTTCGGTTTTGCTAAACTTCGTATTCAAAATTGGACCGAACCAAAGACATGTAATTATATTATATACAACTCGAAAAATCTCCTTACCTGGAAGCCATATCAGGTTTTTTGAACATCGCCATAACTTTTTTTTACTCTTCATATCCATAACTCGAACTGTTTTAACATTCTCGTGCGACTGCGAGTTATGAGGTCCCACTGTATTTTAATACATATACTTATAGGTCATTGAATTCGTTACCAAAAATTTTTAGTTTTATTAAAGCAAACAGTGAATTGACTGTGTTAAGATTATTGAATTATAATTAAGGGTAAAAGTCAATTTATTGTCGTAGATGACACTCACATCTTGGGACGCTACTAGTCTATTATAAGATACTTCCTAATGAAATAATTAGCCACGAATAAAGGATTTGCGAGTTAACTGTAACCAGACCGAAAAAGAAAAGAAGTTATCCCGCAATTCAGCGAAATTCTCAGGGCATCAGACTACTTTAAAGATTTTCAGATCATTAGCATAATTATATCAGAATTTGATTTCAACTGATGATAGAAACAATTCCGTTTATCTCTATAATAAACAACAAAAGACCTAAACCATGAGGTTCTAAAAAATCTAAAGGAGCGTAGTATCAGTACAGACGGCTCAACAAGAATGATTTCATTCAATTAACCAAATTTGCAGGAACACCAAACCTTTTCAATTGCCTTAACCTTTCTGATCGATCTGAACAATGATCGCAAATAGAATCAAAAATCATAAGTTCATATAATTTGGGAATGAAAGATAACTTAGCAAATTGCCGGTGATTGGTAATTTTGAAGCGCCTGTGCAAGTCCATTAAAAAACTGCGGAAAGTTATTACACGATGATTCATAAAGTAAATAATATAGATATCGACCCGCAAAGAATTGAGAACAATTTTTAAGTACTTTGCACCCATAAAATTTTACGAATACCAGTGTTTTTATTTAAGTTATCGAAATGAAATGTGCTATTTTATAAAGCACTGGTTTAAACGGTGGTTATTTTTTTGTCTTCTATTAGTTTTGCCTGTGAAAAATCCTTTTTTTGCCCAAATATATCCTTTTCTTATCCCATTTCAATATTATTTTAATAAATGAGAGAAAATTTGAATCCTTTTATTTTCTTTTTTAATGTAAATAATGCTTTAAATTTACGTTAATATATAAGTGTCAAATATACACAAACATGAATCTTTATATTATATATGTGTAATATTAAGAATGAAAAATAAAATAAATTATACTGTTTTAGCTTTACATTTAAACGAGGTATAAAACGTATTACCGTGTACATAATGTACATTATATAGATATGTAATAGCAAATAAAAAACACAATCATGTAATGATGTAAGAGATATTTTAATATTCTACAAAATATTGTACATTAGAATTTTGCTCCCTTTATGACAGTATGATAGTATAATGCAAGAATGTGAAATTTTTCTATGATACTACGAGTACAAATTTCATTTTTATGTCGAGATCTTGTTATTAATAAATAAAGAGAGGCCACATAAGTATGTATATTGTAGAGGTGCGAGTTTGTGGAATGGTTACTTGAATGTGTTGTGACGTATAAAAATAAATAGATAAACATTTTATAGAAAAATGTTGGCAAAACACAAAGAGGAAGAAAAAGAAATTACTAACAATTATTATGAACATAAATAATAGGTTAACGCTATTACAAAAGTATATACATGTATATATATACACGTTAATGTGTTTTGTGAACATGGCATTCATACAATATATTTTTTTATGTACTGAGAATCAAGAAAACAATTGAATCACATAATATGTATAATATGTTTTTGTAATGCGTGTGCACTCTTTTTCGATGAAATCAAAAGCTTTGTATGGGAATTGAGTTTTTTCTTTTTGATTTAAACATTAAACTTATGGACATATAGATAATTGTCCATATTAAATATTCATGTGCGTACACATATATACGTATGAATCGACTATTCACAAATTGTATGGTATTATAAGATTTTGCAAAATTTGATAGATTTTGTAATTTATAACGTATACAATAATGTTGTGAATAAGTACTTATAAATACAAAGAAAAAAATCTTGTTTATATGCAGACGAAATATTTTTATGTACTTCAAGATTTCACCAATTTATTCATGTCAATAATACAAATATGTATTTAGTGCTACTAAAAATGTAAATCTGATGTTACTCTAATAATGTAGCATTATAGAGTTTCTACGACGTAAGTATTGGAAGAATCGACAGATATCTGCAGAACCATTTTAGACCTATATATATACTTACTAGATAATTTATTAGATTTCGTCATACTTATCTCATAATTCACACCAAATATAAACTGAATTAAAAAATAAACACAGAATTGCATACGTATAGAATATAATATGAAAGATTTGTACTTAAGCACTTAAATATTTTCACGTTAGATCTATTATAAATCTTCCAATACATCCGCTTTAACATACCTCTGACTTTCAACTAAATATTAAAGTAATTAAGAACTGAAAAATTTTCTTTACTTCTTTAAATTTTGTTTTATCTCAGAATTATAGCCACGTTTAATAACATATCCAAAAAAAATTTTCAAATACATATTTAACGCAAAGGTAGAAACGAAAAATGTTAATTCTATTCAAAGTGAATCTCTTGATTCTTTTCCAATTCAATATTAAACTAATAATTACGCATGATTATGAAAAAAATAAAGATTCATTTAATTATGAATTTTAAAAAAAAATTAAGGTTATGAATTCCATTTGTGAAGAATTCATGCATTTAATATATGATTTTCAAGGCAATGTGCACATAATGTTAAATACATGTAAGTATGCTTGTAACTTTACTATATATTGTTATTCTTCATATGTGACCCAGTTCGTTGTACTTATTATTTTTTGCTATATGTACTAATTATTATTCAAAATAGGTTTCAATTATTAATATTAAACGATAAAAATGTCTATATATTTATTTTTTTTATTTATATGTAGATACATGTTTTTATATTCTTCTCGTAGGCAAGTGGCGCCTATACCAGTTCATAATATTCTCCCACAATTTTAAAATTTTTTCGTTTTTAAATGTTTAGAGTAAAGTTTTGCAATTTTGTTATTAAATAGAGCAACTTATTCTTCTGTTTCTTTAAAAAAAATCACTCTCCCTGCAATTCAGTTTCAAAAATTTTTAGTTCTAAAAGCATAATATTCTGCTTGGATTCCGATTTGTTTCACCTGAGAAATTAATAATTAATGATTCTTATATAAAAACAATTTAAGATGCTAAAAATTAATGAACTATTTAATTTCAAATTTGTTTTGCTTTTATGTGCATTGCATGGAGCATCGAAGATAGAAAAGAGATTCTCACTTATTCTTATGCATCGCGCATAATATAGCATTTTTTTAATGTAATAATATTAGTCAACAAAAACCAATAAATTGTTTAAATTTTTGCTTCTTAAGAAATAATTTAGAAAAGCATTATAGACTTATGAAGAACCAAAGGTAGAGGAAAATCTAAACATTAAATTTATTTTTTTTTTTTTGACTTTACAAATCTCTGTTAAAATTTAGTGTTAAAGAGTGCAATAAAACAGAAAAGAAAAAATTGGAAATGATAAGAACAGTAAACAGGAGGCAAAAGTAATAAAAATATATTTTCATTCTTCAGTGAAGAAAATTCACTGAAAATTTCTCCTTTTAAAATCACATAAATAAAAAATTCATTTTTTTTTTTATTTATTCGATGAATGGAAATCCTTTCAAAACCCATAAATCTTTGCAATCTAATTTTTTCTATATTCTTGTAGAATGAAGTGATTTTATGAGATTTCTTTTTTTTCGTAGTTTTCTCAAAGGTTCTTGCGATTTAGTTATATTGTAGATCTTCTCAACGGAAAATTTTAAGAAAAGACAACTGCATTATATAAAAAAAAAAAGCATTTTACACATCTTTTCTGTACGTGTTGTAACTATGCGCTAGTTATAAAAATAAAATTACATTTTGGAATTATCATTTCACATGTGTAGCTAGCTGCACGTATTAAAATTCTCACTGATTTAGAATTTTCTTTTAGCGTAATAATGTTGCCAAATAAAAAAATAACTAATATGCGGCAATTCATATTTACACTTAATAATAAGATGTTTAACTTTTTAAAAATGTGGATGTGTACCATTTTGAATCAATTTAAGAATTTCTCTAAGTACATAAAAACAATCACTATAACTTCTTAGCAATCATATTTTTTGCTTGTTT